CGACAACGACCGCGATCGACGACTCTGAGAGGAGCCACGACGACGAGAGAGGACAACGAGTAAGGCCGTCGAGTGACGAGCGACGACGAGGAACGACAGCGACGACGACGACGCCGCCGACGACGGTGACGACAAGTGACGACATGTGCCGACGACGGCGACAAGTAACGACGACTTTACGACGAGGATGACTGGTGGCACGCGGCGACGAGTTACGACGCCGACGACGGCGGCGACAGCGAAGTCGGCAACAGCGACGACGTCGACGAACTGACGACGGCGGCGGCGACGACGACGACGAGCGACGGTGACGTCGATAAGAATGAGTAATCACGACGACGACTGCGACGATGGCGACGACGACAATTGACGACGATGCCGAGCAACGCCGACGACAACGAGTGACGGCAATGACGGTCGACGGAAGATGACGAGCGACGACGACGATGACGGGTTGCACGTGACGATACGTGGGCGAAGACGACGACGGTGACGAATGGTAACGACGAAAAGGGGCGAACCATTGCGAGAGATGACGGCAACGGCGAAGACGACGACGACGACGACGACGAGTGTTGACGACGATCAAGAATGAGGACTACGAGAGGAGTCACGACGACGAGAAACGATGGAGCGTAGTAACAGCGAGTGACGAAAGACAACGAGTAACGACGTGGACGATATCGCACGACAAATGGATCGGACGAAAGAGAGGGTTACGAAGTCTGTTGCATGCAGCTGGTTTCGGCCCTGCCGCCGGCGCCCTCCCTCTATACATTGGCGCATCCTGGCGCCAGGAGGCGCCAGGAAAACCTGCTACGTGAACTGACTCGCTAACCCCCCTGGTTACGTACAACCCCATCCTCGTCTGACTTAGGGCAAGTGGCGACGACGACAAGTGACAACGACGACAGATAACGACGACTATGACGATCACCGCGATGTCGAGGATTGGTGGCACGCCACAATGAATGACGATGACGGTGCCGACGACCGCGGCGACAGCGACGACGACCACGCCGAGACGAGAGTTGACGACGACAACGACAACGAGCGACGATCACTTCGATACGCAACGACGAATAACCACGACGACGGTGACGTCGACAGCGACGACGACGACAACGACGACGACGACGACGACGACGGCGAGACGACAATCGACGACGACGACGACGAGCTACGACGACGTCGATACGTTGCGACGAGTAACCACGACCGTGACGGCGACAGCGATAAGCGACGACGATGTCGACGAGTGACGACGTCGGTGATCACCATAACGACGTTGACGAGCACGACAACAACGGGTGACAGGAGACGAAGACGAGCGACGACGGCGGACGACGTGGTCGATTGACGACGACAACGAAGACAAAGCCGACGACGCTGACGAGTGGCAGAGGTCGACGAGCGACGACGACGGCGACGAGCGACGACTGCAATGAGCGACGACGGCGTCGAAAAGAACGACAACGAGTCTCCACAAATGGTGGCGATGTCGACAATGACGACAAGCAACGACGACGACGACGAGGACAAGCGACGACGAGCCACAACGAGTGATGAAGGCGGCGACGAAAGCAATTGCGATGAGGAGCGACGACGACGGGTTACGACAACACGACGACGGCGTCGACCCGTGATGACGACGAGAACGACGAGTTGTGGAGGAGGACAACAAGCGACGACGACGATCAGTGACGTCGAGCGACGACGCGAACAACGAGTGGCGACGACGACCACGACGGGCGACAAGCGACAACAAGGAGACGACGACAACGACGGGTGCCGACGACAAGAGGCGAGCGATGACGAGTGATTGCGACGGTGACTGACGCCTACGACTACGCACGACGACTGCATGCCAGAGGAGTCACGACAACCAGAGACGACGGCGAGCGACGACGACGACCGACGGCGATGAGTGACGAGCGACGACGAGCACCCATGGCGCCGACGGCCACGACGGCACATGATTACGACGACGGTGATGACCACGACAATGTCGACGCCGAGGACTGGTGACAAGCGACGTCGAGAGACTGCGAATATGACGACGGTGGCGGAAGCGACGACGTTGACGAGGATTGACGATGACAACCAGCATCGACGACGCGCAACGACGACGACGACTGCTTACGAAGAGGACGAATGGCGACAACGACGGGTGGCGGACAACGAGCGACGTGGCGACGTCGACGGCTCACGACGACGACGGCGAAGACGACAAATGACGACAGCGAGACGAGCGACGACAACGACAAGTGACGACGACGACGATTGCCACCACGGCGACGAGCATGACGAGGACGACGACGGCGACGAGAAAACCCAATAGAAACAAAAAACGCAAGCAGTGGACCCATGGGAAACAGATCCTAGCAAATCCCAGCACATGCAATCCAACGTGCAACCCACTCAAAACCAAAACGAGCGCAAGAATCGGGCGAAGGCGCTCGAATCGCAGTGGCAGACCTGGAGCAGACCCAGCTCAGCACGAGCGAACCGTGGGACGCGCACACGGATCCCAGCAAAAGCAAAGCACAGAGCAGGCAACCGCAAGCCGTGGCCCACTAGAGGCCTCTGCGCCGCCATCTTGGCCCCCCCTCGAGAGCTACTGGGCTCCGTCGCCCCGCCCCGCCCCGCCCCCCGGGGTCGACACCCCCCGATGCAGAGAGCATCCCCGACAAGGACAAAGCTCAAAAGGGTGCTCAAGGGGGATGCGCAGGCAAAAGCGGCGAGGCCACCGACCAGTGCGTGCAGCACCGGAAGGGCGGAGGGAAAAGCCTTCGGCTGCGAGTCAGATGGGCCCTTCGCCTGAGCAATCTTCAGTTCGCGGCTTTCGGCGGGCGCGGGGGCAGGGGGTGGCCAGACCCGAGCGCGCGGGCCGCTGCTGCCGCATCGCGTGCAGCGGCCGGAGGGCCGCCCACCAAAGGCCGGTGCTTGCCCAGGATGGGCCATTCCTTTGCGCGCAGCCGAGCGACATCGAAGGGCTCCCCCTCATCCTAAGTCCGTGAGTCTGAGTGTGAGCGAGTCTGAGCGTGATAGGGAAGGAGTCGGGAAGAGAGGAGGAGGAGGAGGAGGGAGGGAAGCGGAGGCGTCACACCAGTAGCAAGAACCCCGTTTCAGGACGTAGGGAAGAAAGGGCTCCCCCTCCAATCTGCCAGCCCCCCCCCCCCTGGGCACCGGCCCGGCGCGGAGCACCCCATGGGCAGCGCCTAGAGGAGCGCCGCGTCGTAGGCGCGGAGGGCGATGGGGCGAAAAGCTCGCGCGTGTTCGCGCCGCGTCCCTGGGGGGATCACGTCCCGACGAGAGTCGGCTGACCAAGGGCAGCATAGAGCAAGCTGTTCCACCATCGGGGACGCCTCCATCCAGGGCGGCTGGATATCACTACCCGCCATGTGCCGCCGTAGAGTCAAGACCCAGAGATAAGGGCCAGTGGGGGCTCTAGTTTTTCGGGCCGCTGCTTGGGTCTAGGTCGGTGCACCTGGTCGTGGCCGACTCACGCCGTCGCCAGGACATCCCTTTCGCCCCTTTATTTGTTAAGCAGTCCTTATGGTAGCACGATGGAGGTAGGAGTTCTACGTAGAAGTTACCCAGCCGCCCTGGACAGGCGTCCTCGTTGGCGCAACCGTTTCCGTCATACGCTTCCTCACCCGCTGCGAGGAAATATTCAAGGATCGAGGATCGAGGGAGGAAGGAGAGGGAGGAGTATGAAAGGGGGAGGGAGGGAGCAGAGGGAGGAGGCTGGCGTCACGTCGCATCTCCGACAGGGAAGGATCGGAGATCGCAGGCGAGGAGGCGGCAGCAAATGTGTGTTCACATCACAGCAAGCAAGATGGAAGTCTAACTGGAGGCAAGAGTACCCTCAAGCGAAATCACTCGTTAGAATTCGCATTCGAGGCGGCCTGCCCATGGAGCGACTCTCTCTCTCTCTCTCTCTCTCTGGCCACCTCACGATTCGCCCGAATGCGGGCCTCCTGTTCTGCTGTGGGGGCCATGGAAGTTTTCTCTGTCGCTTCGCACCCAAGCCAGATCCACGAAAGCGGTGTTCTGAAAAGTTGCTCGGGGTGAAGGGCTTAGTTTCCCCCTTCTCTAGTCCCTTCTTGCAGCGTGTCAGCAAGGCTGATGCACTCTCAGGAGCGCCAGCACGGGGGCGCAGTCAAGGCGAAAGCCGCACTCACTCCACACCGTAAGCGAGCTGCACGAGGGTGAGGGCTGTGAAGCTCAGCATGTCGATGCCCCACCAAATTGTGGAACACATTCAAATATGACAAGCGCCAGCTGAGTTCGGGATTGGGTGCACCTTTTCCGCTGTACCGCGGAATCAGGGTAAGATTTGACGTTGCCTCAGTGTTGTATCCGCAGGCGCCGCTAGGGTTTCCATCTCACCATCGCGCAATATGAACTCCGGCCTACATCAAGACGCTTGAAATACCAGGTGGTCCAGAAAAGGCCTGCAAGCAAATTCAAGACCGAGAGGGCTCCATCTTGAGCGTAGCCTCGGCAGACCGTCGACGCGATCGTCCCGTAGCGTGCGGTGGGGAGCCCGAAATGTGAGGTGGAGTTTAGACTCTAGACCAATCTCAGTTGGTTAGATTAGTATTGGAGTGTGGTCATCAACTGTTCCAAGTGGTATGCCGCCACCGACAGACAACCAGTACATTGGACGTGTTGCGACGAGCGCGGTCCGCGCCATCAGCGAAAGGCTTCTGGACTGCGAAGCTGCCGAGGCAGGTGCTGAGGTCGACCTCCTCCTGTGCGTGCGACTTCATCGCCCATGCCATTGGTGCTCAATCCTGCATTTGAAGCGGCGTACCCCCGGCCGTCAATGTTACCGCAGTGGCGGCCTGGCGTGCCCCACGGTACTGTTGTGTCATTGCGTCGTTGGGGTTGGCCATTGGCCGACGCGCGGGCTACCGAAGGGAGACTCGATTCGATTGCGCCAGCTACGATGATCTCAGCACTGACCCCGTGCGCTTCTGGATGACAGACGTATGACATGCGAATCCTTCCTACTGCTGCAGGCCGACCTGGACTACACCCAGCGCATCGACACGGCAGTGGGCTGCAAGGAAAACGCCCAGAAGCGGCAGGCGTGGACAAGAGTTGACTCGCCCCCGACTCTAGTGAAGCAGTTTGGTATTGCGACTACGCTTGTTGACCCTACTCATCCGATATGGCTTCTTGGTGGATGGGACAAACTACATGCTGCTATTATCACGCTTGGTTCGGTTCCAAGAGGGATCGGATGTTCGCCTGAGCCTGGCCACCGCGCCCATCATACCTCTACGGTTCTGGGTTTGCCCGCTTGTGGCACCGCCCCCGGCACCGACAAGCAAGGCGTTGTGCAGTGCCGTCATTCGTACACACTCTAAATGGTGGCGCTTCGGGCGGCGGTGGGCCCAACATATTGTTTGCTCACCCCCAGCACTCGGGGGCATTGCACGCGCTCAAAGTGGTGACGCAGGAAGTTGTGCTGGTCAACCTTCGTCGAGGATGCCATGAAGACGCATGTGGAGACGTGGGGGCTCCGTCTCATTCGACATGATGACAGATGTGGTTGCGTGCTTGAGGTGGAGGCAACTGACGACCACAGAGTGCCGAAGCTCACGGAGGCCACGGTGGACCAGCAGTTGCGATTCTAGACCCACAGACCCAACGATGAGAGGTACAACAAGTGGTTAGGGCACATATTGCGGTGCACTGCGAGAGTCAGGTGCTTGGCCCAGGTGAGCGACAAGACGTACGACGCGGAGGATGTCTCCGATGTGGATATTGATGTGTGTGGTGAACGTATTTCAAACGTGTCCATGAGAAGCTCTCGGCGGAGGACAGGAAGACTCTGACGATTTATCGTTCGGGCGCGGTTTCTTCGGAAACGCGAAGGCGGACGGGACTTACATGCAAGTTGTGTGGAGCGTGCATCCCGAGCTTTGGACACTTGTGGGCGGACTGCCCTCACTTAGACACGTCTCCTCGGGTTATCGCTCGGAGACGCGAGCTCCCATTGGATTGGTGGAAAACTGCGCCGCGGGTATTTTGGCCAAGTCGGGCTGGGTTTGTTTCAGCTGCTCGCCGATACCTTTCACACGTACCGAGATGTTGATTGCAGCCTTCGAGATGGCTCTGGCGACGATGGAAGGCGGCCTAATGTCCACAGTATATCCTCCGGATAATGATCGAGTTCGTGAAGTTTGGCCTTCCTCGGGGTACTTACTCTTTTGTGTGTGATTAAACTTCAGAGTTCGGGTGTTTCACTATCACCATGTTCTTCTCCAGTGACGGGTCTTGTGACTGCAGTTGTTATAACAAATGCAATTGGCACGTCGGAAGACGCAAATATTCACCGCGCCGACCGATCTTGGCTAGGCCCTTCCTGGGCACAGGATCGGCCAATCCAAAGGCTGCACGCACCGATCCTGGTCCCAGGATTGGCTTGGGGCTGGAACTGGCGCGATGAACCAGCGGCGCCCCTTGGGACGCAGATGCGTTGGCCAGGGACAAGAGAAAAAGGCTGCAGAATATGGCTGTTGCTGCGAGATGCCTTCCAAGCCTTTGATCATTCCGGCGAAGGCGTGTTGCAGACCGACGAAATCGAGGGGCTGTGCAATTTACCCCTTTTCAAGGAAGGTCGAAGAGATCATGGCGAAGGACAGGATGAAGGACCTCTTCGGGCGCTTGGACAGTGGCGAGACTGGCAACGTCATCATGGAGGACTACGTGAAGGGCATATGCCAGATCGCACTGTCGGATGTGCCCGTAGAGACGCTGCAGATCATCTCGCTGCTGCGAGTCCAAAGCAGGGCCTTCGACCAGCTGCACCGCAGCCTCACCGACAAGGCGCCGCCCGGCTCACAGACTTCGGGCCCCATGCAGCCAGGGCACCGCGCTGCGACGACGTGCCGTCCTCGGAGCTGGCCGCGCTCGCGAATCGACCTGAATTCCAGGGGCAGCCCCAAGAGGCGGGGGCGGTCCGTGTCGTGTCGACGGCGGCGGCGACCCCAGCTCGGGCGACTCGAAGTTGAACGCCGCCGGTGGCCAGGAATCGGCCGTAGTCGAACAGTCAGTCAGGCTTGGACGATCCACGTGGTGTCGGAGGCCAGGGCGCAAGTCGGCTTGGCAAAACCCAATTGCGCATGCAAGCTGTGGGGGCAGGGAACGATAGTCGCGAAGTACGTCGCAGTGGCGAGGTGAACTGACCGTCCCCCTACTCACCACGCCCTCTCAGCTGGAGGCAAGTCGCTGGACGATGAGGTAGCTGCCTATCCCCTGTTCGTCGGTGCGCGCGCCTTCGGGCCCGCTTCCTCCCGTAGAGGGGAGGCCAGGGGTTCCGGTTGCCTGCCATTGCGGACCACCTGCGTGCGGCGTGCACCGCGCAGTTCTTGGATCCATGACTCCATGGCTCCCCCTCTTCCTTCTCCTCCTCGTCCTCCGCCGCCTCCTCCTCCTCCGCACCCTTAACCCCATGTCGGCGCGTTCGTGTTCGTATTTGCTGCAGCCTTCCGTTCATCCGAATTTCGTGGAAATGAGTTATTGGCATGCACGGAGAAGCCCGAGACCACCTGCCATTTGTTGCCATACCGTAGTTTGCAGACGTACCTTGGCATACACCCCGTTCGTCTTGGTGACCATTTTGGTGACTAGCGGCCTTTTTTCAGCACCCTCGGTTCATGGCCGCGTTAGTCTCAAGTTGTCCGTGGTCCGTCCAAAAACATGACCGAGAGTTCAGCGGAGTGGATTATGTGTTTTTTCCTTCCCGTCATCATGAGGTTCCTTCTCTTCCTCCTCATCTTTCCTCCTGCGCACCCTTGTTATGCATTCCCTCCTCGTCCCCCGCCGTTCCCCCCCCCCCCCTGGCTGGAAGCCGCCGAGGCACAAGGGGTTCTAGATAGATGGCAGGTGCCCCTGGTTGCCTTCAGGTGTTCTGTGATGTGGCTTGCACGAATTGAGGGGGGAGAGTTTTCCACCGCGGTTTGTTATGACGCCGTGCCTTCTGCATCCCTTTGCTCCGCCTCCTCCTCACCATCACCAGGTCAGCATCACCATCAGTATCCTCTTCATCATCACCGTCCTCCTACTCCCCATCATCATCCTCATCGTCGTCATCGTCATCCGCATTATCATAATCCGTTTCCACCTCAGGCTCCTCACGGTAATCAGCATCCGCCTCCCTTCTTCTGGTGGGTTCGGCTTGAGAGGTGCCAGTCGGGATGGCCTCCTGGAGGGCCCGGCGGGCAAGCGAGGAAGAGAGAGGGAGAGAGAGAAGGCACGCACACACACACACACACACACACACATACACAGACTTTCAGATTGTAACCGTATGTACGCAAGCATGCGTTCAGATGTCCGAATACCTTCGAGCAGCTTATGACGAGCCTCCGACGTGCATGTGACTTGCGATGGCGTTATTTCGGAGACTGACATCGGCTGCGGGCAGTCATTGCGCGTCCGCGTCTCGAGCTGGCCGTTGTCGTCGGTCATCAGCATCAGCGCTATAATCAGTATCCTCATCCTCTTGATCATCCTGAACACAATCATCATCATTTAATATTTTCATCCTTATCATCACCGCCATCGTCATCAGACTCATCATCATAATCAGCAGCAGCATCACCATCATCCTCAGCAGCATCATCATAACCATAATCAGCATCATAATCATCAGCATCAGCATCATCATCATCATCCTCAGTATCATCCTAATCATCATCACCACCATCAGCATAATCGTCCGCACAATCATCATCAACAACAGCAGTATCATCAGTTGCATCAGCATCGTCCTCCTCATCATCATCATCATCATCATCATCATCATCATCATCATCATCTTCAGCATCATCATCATCATCAGCATCAGCATCATCATGGTCAACATCCGTCTCATCCTCCCCGTCTTCGGTCTAGCCCGCGGGGCCATTTTAAACAATCACGCGATCCGATGCATCGTCCCTGGAATGTCCTTGATGTCACGCGTGCCGCTTCGGCAGGGGAAGTGTTGGTAAAGAGAGTGGGACGAGGCAAATGAAAAAGTCGTGGCTTCGGTTATCGATGGATTCGGCCGCGGATTCATATTAAGTGCCGACCTTGTTTCGTTACCCTGCTGTGAGGCGCGCACACCTGCAGCGCTCAAGCTCGGGACGCCGGCGCACAGTTCCCCAGGGCCTGAGAACGGGACGCGCCGACTGGGCAGCGGGGCGCCGAGCCTGGCGCGGGACCTCTTGCACAAGCGGGGTTTGGGCCGAGGGATGGCGCGCTGCTGATTCAGCCGCATGCGCTAGACCTTTGTGGGCCCCAGAAACGGCAGGGCCGTTTTTTCACCGTTTCCAGAAAAATGTCCCTTGAAAATGGAAACGGCAAAAAAACGGCGACCGGAAACGGCAAAAAAACGGCTCCAGGATTGGAACCGGAGCCGGAACCGGTCAAAAAACGGCGACGGAACCGGTAAAACAACGGCGTCGGAACCGGCAAAAAACGGCAGAATGGAACCGGTAAAAAAACGGCCCTGTCGTTTCCAGGGCCCATTAAGCCGCTAGACCTCCCGTGGGAGGGCGGGGTGTCTGGCGGTGTTCGGCAGCGGACCCCTCGGAGGGGGGGCGCGGCTGGGAAGCCTGATCATCGCCCAGCCGACGGCGTCGGCCGAGGGTGTACGCACCGAATTTCCCCCTGGGCGCCGTCGGAAGAGTTATCTCAACGCCTCCGATCCTCCAAGGCGAGGCCCGGTCTGGAACGCCCCGTGTAGGCTATCATGGCAAGGGCACGAGAAGGTCGGCGACGAGCGAGGGGGGAAGAGGCGGGTCTTCCCAGAAGGCTCGGAAGTCCCCCGCGCTCCTGAGAAGTTTTCCAGGCCCTCCCCGAGGGCACAAGAAAAACAAACCTCAGAAGGCGCGAGGGCTGCTGAGGAGTCCCGCCGCCTTCTGAGAAGGCCTCCTCCTCCCCGTTTCCTCCCCTCGCTCGCCGCCGAGAAGGGATGGCCGCGCCTCCCGCGCCGCGTCGGCCCCTGCTCCTATGAAACCTCTCTGGCCCGATGCGAGACCATCGAATTGCCCCTGGGCAAGCGGGGCATGTCCGAGCGCCGCCCGGAAGCCCCGAACGCGTGAAGAGGCCGGAAGGCCCGCCCGAAGGTCGCTCGCTCTCGCGGGGGCCCCGAGCCCACCGCGGGCAACCGGCGGCGTGAGCGGCGTCGCCCGCTCGGCCCTCCGCGCCCTGCGGAGCCCCCCCCCCCCCCCCGTTTTCTCGACGCGCAACGGTCAGGAGGGAAAAACACAGACACAATCAGTCGTCGACTCCCAGGAAAATATGGCAAAATATGGGAAGTGGGGGGGAGACAGAAACCCAGAAAATATGGGAAAACATGGGGGATATGTTTATTTGTGTGTATTTATTTGTGTGTCCCAGGGCCCCTTCAAACGGAGCGGTGCAAGCGTCGAGGCGGCCTGAGCATGTCTCGGGCTCAGAGAGCTTGGCATCGCTCGGGCGTATGCATTTTTTCCTTCGGCGAGGGCCAGCGAGGTGCATACTTTTGATCATTTGGCGAAAAAAAGCCACGCACGAAGCCGAAAAAAAACACAGGAAGTGGACGTCCGAGCGATGGCCAGTGAGCATGTCTGGGCCAGAGAGCTTCGCATCGCTCGGACGTGTGCATTTTTTTCCTTCGGCGAGGGCCATCGAGGTGCATCCTTTTGATCCTTTGGCGGAAAAAAAAGCCACGCACGAGACCGAAAAAAAACACAGGAAGTGGACGTCCGAGCGATGGCCAGTGATCAGAGCCCCGAATCATCAGGGGTAACTCGGGTCAGGGATAACTCGGGTTCGTTTTTCGGGAATCCAAACCCGAGTTACCCCGGACCCGAGTTACCCCGGATAACTCGGGCGTCCAGAGCCCCGAATCATCAGGGGTAACTCGGGTCAGGGCTAATTCGGGTTCCTGTTTCGGGAGTCCAAACCCGAGTTACCCCGGACCCGAGTTACCCCGGATATTTCGGGCGTCCAGGGCCCCGAATCATCAGGGGTAACTCGGGTCAATAACTCGGGTTCGTTTTTCGGGAATCCAAACCCGAGTTACCCCGGACCCGAGTTACCCCGGATAACTCGGGCGTCCAGAGCCCCGAATCATCAGGGGTAACTCGGGTCAGGGCTAATTCGGGTTCCTGTTTCGGGAGTCCAAACCCGAGTTACCCCGGACCCGAGTTACCCCGGATATTTCGGGCGTCCAGGGCCCCGAATCATCAGGGGTAACTCGGGTCAGGGATAACTCGGGTTCGTTTTTCGGGAGTCCAAACCCGAGTTACCCCAGACCCGAGTTACCCCGGATATTTCGGGCGTCCAGGGCCCCGAATCATCAGGGGTAACTCGGGTCAGGGATAACTCGGGCGCCCAAAGTGAGCATGTCTCGGGCTCGGAGGGGCGTCCCCCCTCGCGAGGGCCGCGGGGCGCGCGGGCGCAGGCGCGGAGGCGGCCGCGCCCCGGGGGGGCCCCGGCGCGCGAAGCCCGGCGGCGGGCGCCAGGGGATCCAGGAGGGAGCCGTCGTTGCGGAAGTCGGTCTCATGGAGAGGAGGCAGGTTGCCAAATACTCGCCAGGTGTCAGCAAAATGCTGCAAACATGTGTTGAAAATGTATAAAAAGAACATGCTTGACACATGCTTCACTCAAGGATAGGATTGTTAGGGTGTCCATTGTAATGACGTCCACAAAACTGTCGGGGCTCAAGGAAGTCGGTTGCGGAGCCGTCGTTGCGGAGGTCGGTTCATGCGGGATGACGATTAATAAACAAATGTGAGAGAACGATTAAAAAATAGTTTTCTGCTATGTCTGCACAGCTTCCTGGCTGGAGGAGAACGATTCGAAAACTAGTCGTTGCGGAAGTCGGTCTCATGGAGAGGAAGCAGGTTGCCAAATACTTGCCAGGCGTCAGCAAAATGCTTCAAACATGTGTTGAAAATGTATAAAAAGACATGCTTGACACATGTATTAATAAGCAAATGGGAGAGAACGATTAAAAAGTAGTTTTCTGCTATTTCTGCACAGCTGTCTGGCTGGAGGAGAACGATTCGAAAAGTAGCTTTCCAGCCCGCGGCCGGTTTTTTCTAATCGTCATCCCGGGCACCGCCGATTAATAAACAAATGGGAGAGAACGATTAAGAAGTAGTTTTCTGCTATGTCTGCACAGTTGTCTGGCTGGAGGAGAACGATTCGAAAAATGGTTTTCCAGCCCGCGGCCGGCTTTTTCGAATCGTCATCCCGGGCACCGCCGCG